AGATGCAGCTGAAGTCTCAAGCTCTCCAATTTTTTTAATGTATTCCTATCTTTCTCATCCTCTCAGTTTTCCTCTCTGCCCCATCTGTCTGTCCTCTGGCTCCCTGGGCTTCAACTGACCATTTCTTCTGGCAAAGAGCCTACAGTTCAGGTTTAGACTAGAGTGCCTGGGTCATGGTCCAGGGCCTCTCACCAACCTCACCTCTCTCTGCTCCAAGTTTCATCCTCAACTTTCCTGCCCTGATTAACTGATTACAGTACAGAGCCTGGAGTCAGACAGACCTGTTCCCATCAGGCTCCACCACTTGGCCGGGGATCTTATGCAAGTCTCTTAATCTTTTTGAGCCTCAATTTCCTCAGCTTGCAAAATGGAGATAGTAATATCACTTCAAAGGGTTATTGTGAAGTTTAAATGAAGCAGCATGTGAAAAAGAAAAAAAAAAAGTCAAACCCCATGCCCAGTGTGAGATAGGGGTCCGCTTCATATTAACACTTTAAAATCTAAAATTTTTTAAAAATGAAATTTGCTTTGCACATTTCCTTTGGCTCAGAGCCCTAACTCGAAGCTCAATCTATCTTGTTATCATCCTTTATCTATATTGCTTTTATTAAGTAATGACCTAAAACCTACATCCGTTGTAATGAGCACTTATATTAGCCAAGAGGATTAGCCATATCGTTAGTAATCAAAATGATGGTGAAGATGGCAGTAATAATCACTTGCTTGCTGCTACAGGCATACTTTGTTTTATTGTGCTTTATTTTGTTACGCTTTGCAGATACTGCAGTGTTGTTTTGTGGTTTACAAATTGAAAGTTTGTGACAACGCTGTGTTGAACAAGTTGGTCACTGCTCACTCCATGTCTCTGTGTCATATTTTAGAAATTCTCACAATATTTCAGATTGTTTCATAATGCTATTTCACACTTAATAGACTACATTATAGTATAAACGTAAACTGGGAAAACAAAAATATTATGACTTGCTTAATTGCAGTAGGCTGGAGTATCTACAAGGTATGCCTAGATAGCCTTGCTTTCCTTCTAGAAGCCTCTCTGATCATTCAAGACAGGGCTATGATCTTTTTTGTATTATGGTTCTCAATACTCATTGTGTTCTTTTAAAGCCACTGTGTACTCTTCACCCCCCTTGCCCATTGTGGCTGTAGGGGCTGTACAGAACCTCTTAGAGCTTGGAGTGCAAGTCACATGTAAGAGGGAGGGAGCTGGGGGTAAGACATGGAGAAGAGGCAGAGTGGTGGGAAGGCCTTCCCCAGTCCTGAGAGTGTCACCCCCAGAGTAGGCATTAAAATGAACCCCAAGGAATGAAGGTTAGACACCAGAAACAATTCTTGTACATGAAGGTAGACCTGAATCTCCTCTCTGAGAGTTCCATAAAGTCAGCTCTGAGGCTTCATGAAAAAGAAAGCTATTTGAAGACAACATTTGGCAGAACTTGTCAGCACCCAGGGTTTCCACATCCAGAACTGTCTGGAAGAGACTCACAAATAAGGGAGTAGCTGAGAGTATACAGGATACTGGGAAACTTGAATTCAGTTTCTAGTACAACTTAGTTTTGGGGTCTTAAGTGATTTTCTCTTTTGGAGTGAGGGGAGAAGTTTGGCAGCCCACAACTGTGGTGAAAATGACAACTCTTGAATTAAAGTCTCGTTTTCCACTCTTTGTGTTACATGACCTCTCTGAACCTCCATCTCTTGCTCTACACCTACTTTGTGTAAGGTTTCAGTGCATGTCAATTACTTAGCACAGTTCAAGGCACACTGAGTGACTGGTAACTGATAGACATCATCATTCTCTTCTTGTCAGATCCTAAATCTACCTTGAGGTCCCATATCCTTCCTATTGGGAAACACTATGGAATCCAGCAGACGTCAAGGCAAGCCATAGGAATTCTATTAGCTCTCTCCAAGAAACAGCCTTCATCCCTGGAGTCTCTCACCTCTGCACATCCTGTCTCCCAACCCAGCTCCCCTAAGTCTAGGTAGTAGAGAGCCCAATCCACTTGAAGTAAGATACAGGGGAAACATCCCAATGGGTAGGGGCAGGTGAGAGGGATAGGAGAGGAGGGGAGACATCTGCTTCTGGAGAGAAATGAAAGACAAGAAAAGTATTCCAGAATATCAGCTGTTAGTTTAGAGACAGACCTATTCATCCAGACTCAGTGGGCATGGACCTGCTCAAACACACACACACACACACACACACACACACACACACACACCTGCCCCCACTTACCGATTTCCAGAAGTGCTCATGGCTCAGACTAAACTTGGTACCCCTCAAAACTCACTTTAACAGTCGACCTCCCTGTCTCTAAGTGTTCTCTGGGAAAGTGAGAGCAAGGGACAAGAGACCCAAAGTGGGTATGGGGAGGATCTTCCAGTCTGAGTGTATGGGATTCCTTGGTTTTCTTTTTACAATAGCCTCTCTTTTTACTGTGTTTCATAAGTCCTTGCTACTCAAAGTAGGGCCAGCAGCATCACCTACTGAATCAGAATCTGCATTTTTAAAAGATCTCCACGAGGTTCTTATACACATTTGAGTCTGAGAAGCTTTGTCATAGATTGGCTTTTAAAAATCTTGCTGCAGTTTTGTTTGTGAGAAAGTGCTTTGGATTAAGGGTCTGGACTCTGGGCTAACTCAATATGCCTTGAGTCAAGCCACTTTTCCTCTCTGAGCTTCACCTGTAAAGTATGGAAGCTACTCCAGATGTACTCTCCAAACATGAGGGCCTAATAGATTCTTGTTGAGAACAATGCTGCCCTCATCAGAGATGGAAACCCAGAACTGGTCATCAAAGCCACCACAGTCCCAAATAGTCAGGAAAATCCCTTTGGTCTAGCCCAGCCCAGAAGCAGGCACTCTATCCCAGAGAGCGCCCACCCCCCACAGCTTCTCCCATTCCTCTTCAGTCCTATTGCCTGTTGTTTCATCTTCCATTAGTATGAATGGAAACCAGCTTTTTACACCTTCCTCAGACCCATCTGGAAGGTGTTAGGATTTAGATGATTTCTCTCTTCCCTTTGTCTATATCAGGTGAGTCTTTCTCAATGGCACTTATTCTGCAAACTCCCTGCAACCGCAAATTGGGAAATATTAAGATTCTATCTTCCTTTCCCATGGTTCATTAATTCAAAAAAATACTTAATAATTCAATAAAATCAAGCACCTGTAAGTAAAAGGCCTACTAGTTCCTGATCTCATGGAGCTGACACTCTAAGGGGAAGACAGATATTATCAACTCTGTCTTTAAACAAATAAAGACACCACTGATTAAATAATAGACACACTATTGATAAGTTCATTACTATTTATTTATTCTAGTAATAATCATTTATTGTACACCTACTATGTGCCAGGCAGAGCCCTCAGATGGTGTAAACAATTAACTCTCTTAGCTGCTAACTGAAAGGTTAGTGGTTCAATTTCACCCAGAGGTGCCTCAGAAGAAAACCTTGGTGATTACTTCTGAAAAATCAGCCACTGAAAACCCTATGGAGTAAAGTTCTACTCTAACACACATAGGTTCACCATTACAGTCAACCCAATAGCAACTGGTTTGATTTTTGTGTTTGCTTATTTTTTAATGTGTCAGACTCTCTTCTAAGCACTCAAGACCCATGGGGGAAAAGGGAGGAATCCCTGCTCTTCTCAAGTGTTAAAATGTTCTAAGTACTATAAAGGGACAGGTATGTGTCCAGGCAGTCTCTTGGTAAGAAATTCCTCAGATTTACTGGGACAACCCTTGGTGGTGGTGGTTGTGTGCCCTGGAGTCAGTTCCGACTCATAGCGACCCTGTATAGGATTTCTGAGACTGTAAATCTTTATGGGAGCAGAAAGCATCATCTTTTTCCAACGGAACAGCTGGTAGTTTAGAACAACTGATCTTGAGGTTAGCAGCCGGACTAGTAACCACTACACAATCATAGCTCCTTGGGACAACTCCTACTTACTCTTTAATTTCATGTAAATTTGTCCTTACTTTGAAATGACTGAACCAACCTCTACTCAATTCCTGTTGTTGCTAAGGGTTCCGACCCATAGGAACCCTGTATAGGGTTTCCAAAGAGCAGCTAGTGAGTTTGAACCACCGACTTTGCAGTTCAAATTGGCCTTGCAGTCCAGCGCATTAACCCACAGCACCGCACCACACCAGGACTCTACTCAATCCATACTCCTAACACAAATTCTTCATCACAAGCGCCTTCGCTTGCTGCATGTGCTGCTTTTAAAACATTGAAAAGGCTTTAAGTTTTTGTTGCACTTCTCTCAAGCTGATTCCAACTCATAGCAACACTATAGGACAAAGTTGAACTGTTCCTTAGTGTTTCGAGACAGGCGCAGTCTCATGTTTCTCCTGCGGAGAGGCTGGTAGATTTGAACTGCCTACCTTGTTGCAGTGGCTAAATAATAATCCTTTGCACCTGTTCCAATTTACCTACCAATTCTTAAAGACACAGTTAGAAACAGATCTCATTTGTAACCCAGGGGCTGCATGCATATGCCACCTTCTCTCCACTCAAGGTTTACAAGGAGTCAGAGATTTAATTACATTTTCTGTTCTCTTCTCTTGGGAAACACTCCAATCCCGTTAATCCCTGAGAAGAGATCTCATTCTCTGGTTAAATCCCCCGGCAGGGGCAGGAGACAGAACCCTTTGCATTCCTCTCCAGCTACATAAGTGGCACAGACCCAAGCCAGGAGTCCTGGGTCAGCCTCTGACCAGTGAGGCATTCCCAGAAGAGGCTGAGCCCTACCCCTAGGCACAGGAAACTTCATGGTACAGACCCCTCTCTCTTGCTGCTTCTCCTCTTTTCTCATCCCTTCCCTTGCCTCTCTTTCCTGACCTTCTCTCAAGCTTCTTATTCCTTCATTTTCCTCTTCCTCCTTTGTTCCTCTTTTCTCCCCTTCCCTCTTGTCTTAAGTGGCTACCATTTTGTCTCAAGGCCCAGACACAGCCCTCTCCAGCCAGGAGTAGATCATGCACTGCAGCTGCTTGGCCGAGGGTGTCCCTGCTGTTCCCAGTAACTACTGGATCTCAGGTGAGACCCTTTGCCAAGTCTCCCTCCATGACCCTGTGGGTAGGCTGGTGGGCAGCTTTGGAGTGGGGCCTCGGAACAGTGGCCTAGCACCTCACGCTCCCTCGTCCACTCCAGGCTTGGCCTTCCCTGACTGGGCCTACAAAGCTGAGTCGTCCCCAGGTTCCCGGCAGATCCAACTGTGGCACTTCATCCTCGAGCTGCTACAGAAGGAAGAATTCCGCCATGTCATTGCCTGGCAGCAAGGAGAGTATGGGGAGTTTGTCATCAAGGACCCAGATGAAGTGGCCCGCCTCTGGGGCCAGAGGAAGTGCAAACCACAGATGAATTATGACAAGCTGAGCCGGGCCCTCAGGTAAGAGGAGGTGGCCAACATGGCCAGAGAGGGCAGAATTCAAAGAAAGGGCTTGTGGTGTCTGCACACTCCTCCAGTTGGGGGAATGTTCTTGCATGCTCTCTAGGAACAGCGCAAGGTCAGCCTACTGACCTGGAATAATGGGATTTGCTGGGCCTCTGGTTCCCTCCTGCCCACTGGGCCAAACATTCTGTTCTCAACCTTGGATTCTCCAGATATTACTACAATAAGAAGATCCTGCACAAGACCAAAGGCAAGAGGTTCACTTATAAGTTCAACTTCAGCAAGCTCATCATAGTCAACTACCCTCTGTGGGGGGTGCGAGCACCACCATCTCCCCACTTGCTGCTGGGAGGCCCTGCCCTGTGCCCACCAGCACTGGTGCCCATGGGCATGCAGAGTGAGGTAGGCATGAAGGCCACCTGTCACCAGGGCTCTACCAGGCTTCGTCTCCTGCCATAGAAACCCATCAGACTCCCTCCAATGTTCCTTTCCCTCTGAATTCAAGTCCCTGAGGGCTCAGGAGCAATATATCTTATTCAAAATGTCTTAACAATCTGCATGGTACAACACCCACCTATTAGAACACACAATTCTTTCTGTGTAGGCATTCAGTGGTGGAGCCTAGGGAAGGGGTCCCCGGGGAGCATCCAGGACATCCGAGAGTATAGAGCACTCTGGCAGTGGTTGTTTAACCATCTGTGTGAGACTGTTCATTCCATTGGTCAAATGTACCTGTGTGTTCTGGGGGACTATGTGCCAGGAGAGCCCATCCCACCCTCACACTGATGTCTTCTCCCCCCTAAGCTCCTGCACAGCATGCTATTCACTCACCGGGCCATGGTGGAGCAGCTGGCCGGGCAGCGGACCCCACGAGGACCTCCAGGGGCCTCTGGGGAAAAGAAGGGAAGCAGCAGCAGTGACCACCGTGAGTGCCAGGGTAGGGAAGGACCCAGGGAATCTTGGCTAGAAGAGGGAAGAATCTCCTGTTGAGTCCATGGATGAGGGGTCATGAGAAGAGGGATAATACAAGTCATTTATTCATTCTGCTCATGTTTACTGAGCACCAGCTATTTGCCAGGTTTGGCAGTTCAGAGGTGAGAAATGGTCCTCAAGATGCTTAAAGTCTAGTGGGGAGTAATCACTGGATGGTGCTGTGATTCTCATAAGTGCCAGATGCCTCCAGGGACACAAAGAAGGAGCTGGGCTTCCTGGAGAAGGCACTTGAGCAGGTGAAGAAAGTGGAGAAAGATGCCCAGGCAGAAAGAACAGGATTTACAAAACAAAAAGCTATGAGCAAGCATAGCAAATCTGAAGAACTGCTAGTCTCTCCCCATGATCAGAGGAGGAGGTACAAGCTGGAAGTGTGAGAGATGGAGCTGGCCAGGGAAGCAGGTGTCCAGTCACCACGGGCTTCAGAAACCATGCTAAAGGGTTGGACTTTAACCTTTGGGCAGGAGGGATCCAGGACAGGGAGAGACATGTTCAGAGTTTCACTTTATAAAGATTATTCAGGCTGAGTGTAGATGTTTGTGTTGGTGGAGGTTTCAGACTGGTATTGGGAGACTTTCGAAGATAATCTAGGCAGATGATGTTGGAGGCCAGAGCCAAGGTAAGACCTTCATGGGTTGAAGAAGGGGGCTCAACTGAAGAGAGATTGGGAAGATAAAGTTTACTCACTCATTCACTCAATTATTCATTTCTTTTTCAACATATATTTAATGACCTCCTGCTTAGTGTGACAGGCAGTGTCCTAGGGGCTAGGGACACCAATATGAGTAAGACTAAAGGAGCTCTGGTAGTGTAGTGGTTACGAATCGGGCTGCGAACCGCAAGGTCAGCAGTTCGAAACTACCAGCTGTTCCGCGGGAGAAAGATGAGGCTTTCTGCTCCCATAAAGATTTACAGCCTCGGAAACCCTGTACAGGGTTGCTATGAGTCGGAACCGACTCCACGGCACATAACAACAACAACTTTACAAAGGAGTCCTGGTGTAACATTGTAGGTTAAACACTGGACCACTAACTACAAAGTTGAAGGTTCACACCCACTCCTCGGAAACCCTATATAGGGTTCTCTGAGTCATGACTGACTTGATGGCACTTAACAACAACAACCTTTGTAGAATTTGGAGATAAGAGCGAGGAATACAGATATTAAATTTACAAGCTGACAAATAGATGATGTAATTATAACCATGCTAACTGTTGGATTGGAGAAATTCAGGATGTAAGGACATCAAGGAAGACTTCTCTGACAAAATGACATCTGAGCTGACGCCCAAGATGTAAACAGATGTTAGATTAGCTCACAGGGAGTGGGGCGAGCATGGCAAGTAGAAAGAACAGTGTGTGCAAAGGCCCTGGGAGCAGAAAGAGGAGCTGGGAGGAGGCCAGTATGGCAGCACATGGTGATGGAGGCAAACAGGAGAGTGACAATGCAAGCAAAGATTCACTCTTCCAGGCCCATCAACTGGGAAGAGACAAAATCAGATTTTGTAACAGAGACTCTCAGCCAACTCAAAGCTCTTTTGCAGTGGTCGGAGACCTACCCCTCTATGCCAGGCAATTTCATGGCCCCAGTCCTAGTACAGCTTGGGCCCAGATCCTCCAAGAGAATACAGGGTATCTGGTTTTGGGCCCCCATGAGTGCCGCTGAGGCAGTGTACGTGGAGCTGCCCAGGGCCTGCTGGAACTTGCACGGCCATCAGTCTGACAGCCTGGAGCTAAACAGCACCTGAACAGCCTTCCCTGTTCTTCCACCCCCACCCACCCTCTCCCAGCTCTGGGAGTGCCGTGGGCACAGAGCTTCTCTCTTTGGGAAACTATGAGAGGGGAAAAATGTGTTCCCTCCTGAGCCTCAGCTTCAAGTGGGCTATTTGGCCCTTCCCTGCCCTCTGCAGGTGCACACAAATGCCCTGCCTGTGCCCAGGCCCTGAGGGACATTAAGCGGGTGTAGGTCACGGGGAGGTCAGTAGCAGCCACATATCCCACTTCTGGAATGAGACTCCAGGAGGTTGTGCCAGCCCCTCACCCTCACACCCACCCCCACATTTGGTGCCAAGAAAGGAAGCCACTTCCAAGCAGAAGAGTGGCCAAGACTATTGAGTTGGTGCCAGGTAGTTGCGGGGCTAGTGGTGGAAAAGGGTTGGAAAACAGTTGAAGGACTCTTAGAAATATCTCTTCCACAGACCTACTGGGCTTTCCTTTCTGGAGGAGACACAACCCTAACCTCAGGAACCATGTGACTGAGGAAGGACATACAACCTCCCTGCCCACAGGGATACCCACTCTTGGGGAAAGCAGTATGGACTGTACCTCACTTAAGAACTCAAGGAAAAGGACAATGTCTCAGAGAGGGGGTACACTGTGTATGGCAGGGGTCTCCATGCTTTCCCTCTTGGAGAATCATTTTTACTGTTTTCCCCTTCATAGAAATGTTTTTCCTAGCAAATAAACTGGATGTATTAAGTAATAACCAATTTGGTTTTCCAGTTATTATTACTTTTATTTATTTTAACTTTTCTCTGTCTCATTCTTTTTTTTTACAGTCCCCTCAACGAACACCACATATCCTACTTCCTCCCTGTGTTTCTGGTTTTCCTCCTTCTTTCCTAACCCTTCTGAACTCTATTCTTGGGCAAATGCCGCCCTCTTTATTGACTTTAGACCCACTGATGTGAGCACACGGAGCTGATATTTTCCCGCAGAATGTCAAGATGCTTGCTCTTTTACTTAAATGATATGGACTTGATAAGAGAAAATACGGAAAAAAAGCTTAGGCTTTTTACAGTATAGAAAATGGTTTGAAGATCTATATAATCATCTTCAGAGATCCCAGGTGCATGCCCCTTTTGTAGGATCTTGGAGGTGGGGGACAATAAAATCAGGTAGATCTAGAAGGAATGAGCAAAGGCTCTCAGGGGAAGACAGCTATGGACCAGACAGTTGGAGAAGAGACAGCTGAGGCTCACTCCTTATCCATCCTGGACCTCAAGTCCACACAATGTTTACTCTGCGGGTTCCTTTGGACGGATTATGTTCTTTGGTTTTAGGTGTACCAGTTGCTGTTGAGTCCATTCCAATTCATGTTGACCCCTTGTGTGTCAGAGTTGAACTGTATTCCACAGGATTTTCAATGGCTGATTTTTCGGAAGTAGATCACCAAGGCTTTCTTCCAAAGTGCCTCTGGGTAGACTTGAACCTTCAACCTTTCAGTTAGTGTTGAACACAGTAATTGTTTGTACCACCCAGGGACTCCAGTAGGTAGGACAGGTAGTTTTACAGATGAAGAAACTGAGGTCTGAGAATTTGAATGACAAGCAAGCCCAAGGCTGCACAATCAGTTGTTTGCCCAGCTAGAACTAGAGCCCTTTGCTGCAGGGCCTTGAGCATGAAGAATGGATTTGTTGAGTTACAGCAAAGAATATCTTCATTCATTCAACACATTTTTATTGAGCAGTTAATATGCACCAGGCTGGGCTGGGTGCTGAAGATGCAGGAGAGAATAAAACAGGCAGTTCCTGCCCAGCCCTCGAAGAGTTGGGGAAACAGACATTAAATAACCATACAAAAGACTCCCTAACTCTAACTGAGCTAAGTGGTCTGGAAAAAAAACGTGGAGGGCTTGATGAGAACTGATAAGAAACCTTCTCACCTATTCCCTCCTCCCCTGCTCCACTCTCCACCACTGCCACATGGCATTTACTGTTGTTGTCATTAGGTGCCATCGAGTTGGTACCAACCCATAGCAACCTTATACACAGCAGAACAGAAACACTGCCTGATCCTGGGCCAACCTCACTACTGTTGCCATACTTGAGTCCATCGATGCTGCCACTTGGCCAATCCATCTCGTTGGGGGTCTTCCTCTTTTCCTCTGACTCTCCACCTTACCGAATGTGATATCCTTCTCCAGCAACTGGTCCCTCCTATGAGACTTGAAATAAAGGGGTGGGGGGAAAAGGGGGTGGGAAGAGAAATGGACTGGGAGGAGAGATGTTTCAAGCAAGAAACAAAAGAATGGGAGGAGAAAGAGATGTCTTTAAGAGAGGTGAGGACTGCTCCCTTTGACCCTGTCTCTCTCTTTTTCTAGGAATTGGATCCACCCCAGGCTCCTGCCGGCTGGGCACCTGTTGTCATTTTGGAAACCTCCAAGATGAGCTGCCCAGTTTTGCCTCCTTTACCCCTCCCCTGCAGCCCCTTATCCCCTCTGACTGGACCCACCTCTCAGGGTCCTTCTTGCCCCCTCCCCCCACAGAGCAGCAGCTCCTGGGGTCCTCCAAGCCAAATACTCTACTCCCAGGCGGCCCTAACTGCTCACTAGGGGCCCGGCATTTTCCAGGGCTCCCCCTGGTGGCGGGGCTGGGACAAGAGGTTGGTGATAGGTTTAGGTTTCTGTCCCTGAGGCCAGAGGGGCTTGGGAAAAAACCTGATCTCATGATGCGGGCAAAGAGGATCCTGGATCCCAGGGAGAGCTTCTCTTCAGAGGTCCATGAACTCAAATCTGGGGAGGAAAGACCTGCCTCCCCCAATTTGGAACCTTTCAAAGCAGTGTGGCCCTTGGATCCTCCTTAATTTGGAAGGGAGATATGAATCAGGGCTCCCCAAACCCATCTCAATTCTTTCCCAGCTCCTTCTGACTTTGCACTTTCCAACCCCACCCCTGGTGGAACAGGGGCTTTCATTGCAGAAGGAATTTTGAAGTGATGGAGTTGGACCCAAAGAAGGGAGTGGGTGGGCAGGGGCATTCAGGGGAAAAGTGTATTTGGGAATAGGGAAAATTGAAGCAAGGTGCCCCTCCTCCCCCAAATTACTAATCAGATTAAGGTGTTCTTTTTATAAAATTGTAAGTGAAAGTTTACACCACAAATTAGATTCCCATTCAACAATTTTCATACACAAATTGTTCCCTGACATTAGTCCCAGTCCCCGAAATACATCAGCACTCTCTCCTTTCCCCATTTCCATCAACCCAGTTTCCCTGCCCTTGCTTGCCTTCTCACCTTTGCTTTTGGGTAAATGTTGAGCTTCTGGTCTCCTACAGTTGAGTTTTGAAAGAAGCACATTCCTCATGGTGTCCTTGTTAATGTGTCATTCAGCTGAAAGGTGACCTCTGGGAGTGGCTTCAGTGCCAGACTAAGTGTTTCTTAGGGTAACAAGTCTCTGGAGTACTCTCTACTCTCTATCCGTCCAGTCAATACCAATTATTTTATGAATTTGACTTGTGTGCTACATTTATCTCCCATTCTAATCTGTACCTTCTGTTGTGTCCCTGATTAGACCAATCAGTAGTGTAGCTGAACACCATATAGTTCTTCTGGTCTTAGGCTAGAAGAGGCAGTGGTTCACAAAGATATTCTTAATTTCTTTCCTCTTTTTTCTTTTTTCTTTTGGTGGAGGGCGGGGGAGAAAGTAATATTTGCGTCATTTGAAGCCTTCCATGCCTGCTCACCTCAACCCAGTCAAGGGAGAAGTCAAGGGTCTATATTGAGGAGGGGTGCCACTCACTGCTTTGAAGGTCTCAGGACAGCTTCAGGAACCCTTTCCTCTCTGAGCCCATCTCCCTCACCTGGGCTGGGTTTCTGGTTTCCTTCCCTGTCTCCTCCCTCCTAGTGGGCTTCTCTGTCATCCTGCTGTTTCCTGTAATCCTTAGAGCTCCTAAAACACTTTTTCTACCTCCAATTCCCTCAGTCCCAGGCAGGCAGGCAGGGGGATTGGGGCTGACCTCCTCTCTCTTTAGGCATTGCATACCTTAAATAAAAGCCCTGTCAAACTGCCCTCTCAGCTGACTGCCTGCCTCAGCTTCAGGTTGGAGCTAAACACAACTCATGATTTTCACAGAAAAAGGTCTAGGGGGCTGGGGGAAGGCTTGAGGCTTGGAACAGAACTGGAAGTCAGTGGAGCCAGTCTCCTCATTTCTCCTACCATCAACTCCCAGAGGCACGGGAGCAACCAGGTAAGACGGGAAACCAGCCTCCAGGGAAGAGATTCAGGACAGAGTCTTTATAGAAAGACTCTCAGATCCCCATGGAAGACAGCTGAGCAGAACTGAAAGGGATGTGAGGTGAGGAAGGAGAGTGTTAGCAGGGGTCCTCTTCCTCTGCCCCAGGTCTAAGAATGATTAGGAGTGAAGGGCAGAGTTGAAACATTGAGTGTCTGGGAAAGTGTGAGAGCACTTAGAGGGCTTTTGCTCAGCCAAGGAAATGTCAACAGAGACAACTGCTCTGGAAGCCAAGGATACTGAGCTATATAATGAGTCAGAATCGACTTGATGATAAGTAACAGCAACAAATCTCTGGAACACAAATACTGGGTTTAGGATTTGGCTCCACCTCCTTCCTAGGCTGTGAATCAAGAGTTTTGTTGTTGTTAAGTGTCATGAAGCTGTTTCCAATACACGGTGACTCTCTACAGGGTTTCTGAAGAGCATCTGGTCAGTTTGAACCACCAACCTTTCAGCTAGCAGTCTAGTGCTTATCCTACAGTGCCACACCAGGAGTAAGGGGGAAAAGAGAGAGAGAGAGAGAGAGGCTTAAGAAATCACAGAAGGCCCCTTAGCCCATTATTTATCCTTGCCCCTCTCCAAGGAGTAGATGTATGTGTATCCATCTCTCTGAGGATCTCCAAGTATTTTGCTTTCTGTGGCAGCTTAACACTTCTTCATGACAGATGTGCCGTTTTCACCACTGGAATGGGGCATAAGTGACTTAGAGTGGGCAAGATTAGGCTTTCACCCGACACACAGGTTACAATTGGCAAGGACACCATCCCCTAGGTTTCCAAGCTCAACAATGGCCATGAGAAAGCAGTCTTTATTCAGTCTCCCTCACTCCACTACCCCAGGTGCCAAGAAAAGGAGACCCAGAATTTCTCTCCCAAGGAGGTCTCTGGACTACAGTGAGAACTGATTTTTCACTTGTTCCCCAAACCACATGGCTGTTCCCCGGGCTTTCCCATCTTCCTGCCCACTATGGGGAGACTAAGAGTGTTGTCTGTTCAAGCACCAGGGACTGGATTGCATCATCATGGGGCTGGGGCCCTGTTCAGAGACGCCAGCTCTAAGGACAGGGGTTCTCTCTGTAATGGGGCCCCTCATGTGCCCTCTGCCTGGACCCACCCCTGCTTCAGTGGGTTTTGGTGACTGGGACCCCATGTAGTGGAAACTGTTTTGAGATCATTATTCTGAAATCCCCCTTTGGTGTAGGCTTGCCAGTTGACTGAAAGTTTAGCCCCAGAGGATCTAAACTTCCTGAAGTTATGTTATGAATTTTTAGGCAGTAGATCCAAGCAGAGCAGAGTTTTTTTACTGTTGACCCTGTAGGATAAGCACTGGATCACAAGGTGGATTTGAATCACAAGGTGGTGGTTCAATCCCACCAGCTGTTCCTCAGAAACCCTATGCAGAGTTGCTACTCGACACCACTTAACAACAACAGCAATTCTGGTATAGCGCTGTAGGATAAGTACTGGACTGGTAACTACAAGGTGGACAGTGCAACCCACCAGCCACATTCAGAAACCCTATACAGGGTCACTATGAATCAGAATTGACTCAGCAGCACACACCAACAGCAACAACACTAATGGTTTGTTGTAAGAAGTTGTTATCCTGTGGATACTAGGATATATAGCAGCATCTCTGGTCTTTATCCACTAGATATCAGTAGCACTCTATCATTGAGTTTTGACAACCAAAAATGTCTCCAGACATTTCTAAATGTCCTCTGTGGGGCAACTATAAACCCCAGTTGTGTTAAGTAGACAATAGATAAGTGCAAGTCCAGATGTTCTGGCAACGATGAGACCCAGACTCCCCCAACTCCAGAGACCTGTCGGGCTTTTTTTCCATATTGTTAAAGTGCCCTCTGGTGGTCAGAATCAGTACCAGTGACCAGAAGCAAGCTCAGAAAGCTGGGTGTATAGAGTCTACAAAAGGGCTCTGTTTGAGAGAGGGTGGAGCACTTTGGAGCCCTCTGAGAGGCAGAAGGGAGTTGCAGGATGGAAACATTTTACCAGCACCTTCCCACGGCAATCCCCTTGACAAATCATGGATTATTCATCAAAGAACCAACAGACTCAGCAAGTTATAAGTTTCTTTGGTAGAGCAGGGTGCCACAATCAACCCTAGAAATGACATTCTGTGCCCATCTGTGATGGAGTCCTTGGGAGGTATGCTTGACTATTAACCAAAAGGTTCACATTCTAATCCACCCAGAGGTACCTCAGAAGAGAGACTTAGCGATGTGTTCCCAAAAGATCACAGACACCCCTATGGGGTAGCTCTACTCTGCACACATGGAGTCACAATGAGTCAGAATGAAATGCATGACAACTGATTTGGGTTGTTTTGTTTTGAATGTGTGTGTGTTGGCGGGGGTAGGGTGGGAAAATGTTGTCCACCTATGACCATCAGTCTCACCTGGGTATAAACGGCTGCTAGGGGGTCCTGGAGTGGTGCTGTAGGATCAGCAGTGAACTGTGAACTACAAGGTCAGCAGTTCAAACCCACCAGCTGCTCCTCAGCTGGATGGCACTTAACAATAACAACAACATTGAGTTCATTCCAACTCATAGTACCCTATAGGACAGAGTAGAACTGATTCTGAGGATGTCTGAGACTGTAAATCTTTACTGGAGCAGACAATTGTTTTAAAGATGAGACAGTCTCATCTTTCTCCCAAGGAACAGCTGGTGGGTTTGAACTGCTGACTGTGGTTAGCAGCCCAATGCTTATACCATTGCACCACCAAGGATCCTTCTGGGATTAAAGGAATGGACACTCAGCCTTCTTCTAGGAGCGGTGGAACCAGGGCAAGATGCAGAGAAGTCATCTCACCAACAGCTCTGCTCCTTGGCCCTCAGCTCTATCATACCTGAGACAACGACACAGCACTCATGAACTCCAAGTACAATTGCAGGGAGTCAGACTCCTGGGCTTTATGAATCTTAGACTGTTAGGACCTAAGAGATCATTAAGTTCAATCCCTAATTTTACAGACTCAGAGAGAGGAACAAACTTGCTCAGGATCATACAAATAGAAGAACCAAATTTAGACTATAAATTTCCTCATTATCAGTTAGTGCTCTTTCCATCTCACCATAATCACTTGGCTGGAGAGTTTTAGAGGCATTGAAAATTCCTTAGAAATATGTTGAGAGAGAGATTTCCAAAGTTGTTCCAGTGTGATTTTTAATATGACCATTTTTTCTTTTTGTGTGTATTTTGGGCACTTGATTCTATATTGTCTGGTTGTTGTTGTTGTCAGGTGCCATCGAGTCAGAACCGACTCATAGCGACCCCATGCACAGCAGAACGAAACAATGTCCGATCCTGGGCCAACCCCACCACCGCTGCCACACTTGATGCCATCAATGATGCCACCTGGCCAATCCATCTCGTTGGGAGTCTTCCTCTTTTTCTCTGACCCTCCACCTTACCCAGCATGACATCCTTCTCCAGCAACTGTTTGCTCCGGACAATGTGTCCAAAGTATGAGAGACAAAGCCTAGCCATCTTGGCCTCCAAGGAGCACTCTGGTTGCACTTCTTCCAAAACAGATCTATTGGTTCTTTTG